TCTGAGGAATCTGAAGAAAAATGTTTGACTAAGAAAAAGGGACACTACAGCTAAAATCCACCAGTGTAAATGAGCCAAGTTGTGCTGCTCAGTATCAGTAAAACATACAGTGAAATCAGGTACACCATAGTCTGTTTAGGAATTATACCATCTTGCCAATTTTGGAAGTGGAACCTAGAACTTTTCAAACAGCATGAGGGGTTTTGAAGGAATCTAACATCAAAGATTATTTCCTACAGGTTACAAAAAAATTAGGGCACAGGTCTGGAGCAAGTATCATCTAAAAAGTAAGGGGACGCACATTACCCTCCTTCTACTAATAATATTTATAAAGATTAGGAAATTAATTGTACACATGTACACACACACACAATTTCCTTTCAACCAAGAATTGCAGATAGCTTTGTGAATATTAACTAGGCTTCAAAACATCGCTCTGTGATAATACGAGACAAGTAGTGTCATTCTTTTTTTTCACATGTGTTAACAAGCTGAGAAACGGTTAATTTAGATGCAACATCAAATTTTAGTTGCCTGACTGCAAACACCTCTCTGCCATTTTCCAGAAGTGCCAAGTTACATCGACTTCAAATCAAGTTGAAGGTACGTATCCTAGGACTAAAATGCTCAGACTTCCCTGCATATCTTTAGCACCCAAATCCATATAAAGCCAAATCTTCATCCCATAATCAGTAAATCCCATTCAACTAAAAAAAAGCAAAGCTGGCCAATTCTTCTTAGTTCATCTCATGAATAAGATCACCAGCCAACACAGTACAACAACTAATAAATAATGAGAACAATGTATTACATTAATAACAATGATGACAAAGACGACGTCAACAACAACAGCAATAGCAGCACACCAACAACAGTATGAGGAAAAAAGCAAACACACACTGACATACCTAGGCATTAATCTGTCAAGAAAATACTGAACAGATCAACTTTTCTTTTCTCTGCTCAGCAGGCTTTTATATACAACATGAATAACTGTTCCTATAAGAAGCAGCCCCTTCCCCTATCATATTTTATGAGGGTTGTAACATTTTACATATACCTCTGGTACCACACTAGTTTCCATAGTAACAGAGTATGATGCTTTATTTAAAAAATCAACCAACAACAACAACAAACGTAGAGAAAAATTGAGCATACTACAGTATTCTATAGAAAGGATCCAGAATCATTCCCATAATGCTACAGAAAACTGAAGTGACTGGGACTGCATGTGGAGGATGCTGCAAGATCCCACACAAAAAATTAGAAAGCCAAAGTAATGTGCTGGAATCATAGATGAGGCTGGATAGACTGTGTGTTTGGAAAAACAGAGGGATTATGACTTGGAGATGTAGAACTCTCCCAGCTTTAACATATGGCAACCTTTTACTATGGCTATAGGGGGAAAAAAAACAGTTTTCCAACACCTTTCTAAAATTAATTGTTCATTTATTAGAAAACAAATTAAGCCAGCCAGGAAGAAAAATAAAGTTGAACTGTACTGCTAACAGTTCCCCAGAGGGAGTGGGAAGTGATTATTGAGTTAAATGGCTACATTGTTAACAATTGCCACAAAGAGTAGCAGACCCTGTAAGATTCACTTTTCACTGCCAATTTACTGATGACAAAATCTGCTAGGAAATGAATTAACTTCATTAGCCTCTCCTCATCCCATCCCTCCCTGCCAACACCAGATTCAAATATATATCAGTAGTTGTTTTTCTTTTATGACCCAGCATCAACATTTAGAAATATTTATGTAACATATGCCCTTTCCTTTTCTTTCTTGCACTATATCAGTGCCCTCAAGCATTTGGACATTGCTGATAATCAACAATGTTAATGGAAGAGGCTATAGTGTTTAACTAATCCACCTAGCTTGTTCAGGTGAACAATCCCCATACAGCTCACTGTCCCAGTTTTTCCCTGAATGTTATTTCAAGGATGTAAATAAATTTAATCTCCATGATTTCTACTGGCAATAAAACCACACCGAAGAGCACAAGAGTCACAAGTCCTACATGTTCAACTAGTCAGACAATATGTAATACACACACATTTTAATGAGAAATATTTCCCCATAAGGAAAGTTACTGAAATAAGGATCAGTGGCTGATAGATTCATTCTGAATTTTACTGCTATGGGTTCAGGGAAAAATCGATGAAATTGGATGTAGAACTTGTGGCTAATAGAGAGTTTAAAATCTCAAGAACTGATCAGTAGAGTTATATTTAAAAAAAAGTTAGAAATAGCATGCAACTAAAACAAGTAATAAAAGGTGAGAAATAAAGAAAAAATATTACAAACAGCACAACACAATAATTATATAAACAAGAAGAGACAACAAAAGGGATTAACAAGATAACCCACTATGAAACAGAGTCCCAGGAGAAAACCATTATCTTTTTGTTATATTTCCAAGAGTATTTCTCATAAGTTTTATGGACAGGATGAGAAAGGAACTGGGCAAAACAGGGGGGCATTGCATGTTGTTTTGCTTTTAGCACCAAACTTTTGGCTTCCCCATTTTTACATTACCATACAAAAAAACAAATAAAAGCAGCCAACTGCTTGCACAATGACTTTTCACAATGTTTAACAAAAGGCTATTGAATAAACACATTACGCTTTGAAAAAAAAAATTTCAATCACACAGTAGACAAGCAATATTTTCATCTTAATAGTTATGGAGAGAGCACCACCTGATGGAAGACACTAGAAGTACAGTGACTACAGCAGAGTCACAACACTCAGTATGTCACTAGCATCTAAGAGGTGAGGGGTGTTTGTACATTTTGTCTATTTGCTTTTATCATCTGAATATTATCTGAGAAAATTGATAAGAGGGCATTCAGAACTCAGCAGTTAATAGTTATTCAAAAAGAGAAACCACTTTCTGCAATTTCATTCACTGAAGCAACTCAGGAGCCCCATTTATATCTAAAAATGAGATCCTTTTATCACTTTGAATAGTAAAGCACAAGTTCAAGCAGACCAAACCCTAGCTTTCCCACTTAACCAACAATGACAAGAGAATATTTTCACCCTGTTCAGCCATTTGCTTTCATTACACTTGGACATGTTCAGCCCTTTGCCATTTATCTATCTCCCAAAAGTCCGTCTCTCTCAAAAAAAGTTTGGAAACATACTTAAAATAGATTTTTCCCTAGGCAAGTGGCTAAATGATTCATTAAAAATCTACGGTACAGTTTCAATTTGTGCCAGTTCCAATCATATGCATATTGAAATCACAGTCTAAATACCCATTAAAAAACCCCTCCACGTATGGTTTTACTCATGAAGGGAGCTATTTAACAAGGTTACATTTCCCAGTGTTTTTAAGGAATCTGATAGAGTGCACAGTTGCCTAGCAATCTAAACAGACTACTGTAGTTTTGTTATTAAACACCACTGGATTCACTTCAACATCTACTTCAAAGCTGAAAGGGGTCTCTTCTACCTACTCGCCCCTCTTCATGCGAAGCTTTCCTTTAAACAATTTTGCAGTGATCCCATTTCTTTGGGCTGAGTGCACAGTCAATATTTACTACCTGCCGATATTTATACTTTAAAGGACCCATACAAGAGTCACTAGTGCTCTCTCAGCCTCTTAGCTAAGAAAACCCTTTCACAATGCAAGGTGCACTGAACTCAAGTGTCCTGGACACCCGTGCTTGAGGTCTGGAGTACACATAGACAAGTAGCAATGACCTGCATGTATCCTCACTAAAGCAGGGGTTGGGCCAGGAAGTTGTTTGTATTCATTTTGTAGTCAAAGAGAAGAAAGACTTTTTGGTTTAGGTTGTGAAGAGAAAAGGAGGTGAGAGGAGACACGTGTAAATGTACTGATACAATGTGAGATGGGAGGTATATATTAAGAATCTTCTAAAGGAAAACTGCACACCAAGAAGGACCCAGGAGAAAACACAAATCACTCTCCACACTTTCTGGTTGATTTATAAGGCTAAGAAAAGCAGCAGACTGGCTCAATAGGCACCACTCATCTTAAAGTCATTTCAACTATGCTTCAAGGAACTGCTGGGGGTGGGCAGTAATAGGAGGCTCCTCCTAATGCACACATGGCTCAAGCCGCATCTTTCTGAAGATCAGAGTGACAGATCCCGACAAGTGTGAAACGAGTCGAAGCATCTCAACCATCCAGAGAAAGTTATTCAAACTTTGGGCTCCCGAGGAGTGGGGAGAGAGAGAAAAAAAAGCTGCCCCTGAACTTCTAAAAATGTTGTCTGACTTCGGTTTAAAGGTAGAGGATAGCGAGGCATCCCGAGGTGGCACATTTTTCAAATGCTCAGCCCCGTCCTTGCTACAGAACAACTGCTTGCTATAAAAAGGACTCGAGTGTCTTGAGTCTAAGAAAGAAGGAGATGCTCGCATTGCACACACGCCACAACTTTTAAAGTAACGTGCTATCCCCACATCGGCTAGACATAAAACAGAATCTACACACACTCACTCTCACTCACACTCACTCTTACACACACACACACACCTTCCGTGGAGCCAAGCAAACATAACGGAGCCTCGACAAATCCGCGTTAGGGCCGAGGCAGCGCCGGCTCCGGTGACAGACACCGCGTGCGACAAGGACTTTGAACACGATCGCTCTTTTCCTTGCCGACTCCAGGGTTTCGCAGACAAGTCTATTCTTATTCTTTCCAGCTCACGATCTCCCAGGGAAGAACCCCCAGCAGCTTGATATGAAAGAAGGGGAGGGGGTATAGAAAAAAAGGAAAAGCAAATGACACCATTCGGCACACTGCACCGCTTTCGGTCTCAACCCACGAACGCAGCCCGAGATAAGGTCAATCTCCCCAACACAAAGCGCAGAGCAAGCAACTCACCGCAAAAGACAAACTTGAGCAGGGGCAGCATTTCCACGGACACAATGCTCTGCAATGCAAACCTCTCGGCTGTCCCCGGGCCAAGCGGAAAGCATTCAGGAGGGCTCCCTTCAGAACAAGGGACGAGCAGATGAACTCAC